TAAGAGTCCCGACTCCTGGGGCATCTGGCCTGACACACTGCTCTACATTTGTCCACAATAAGAGTCCCGACTCCTGGGGCATCTGGCCTGACACACTGCCCTACACTTGTCCACACTAAGAGTCCCGACTCCTGGGGGCACCTGGCCTGACACACTGCTCTACATTTGTCCACACTAAGAGTCCCGACTCCTGGGGGCATCTGGCCTGGTACACTGCCCTACACTTGTCCACACTAAGAGCCCCGACTCCTGGGGCCACCTTGGGCTGAACAAGGGCTGGACAGCGGACATCTGAAGGGGCTTTGGTTGAGATGTTCTCAAGTCCAAAGAGAGGACGAGGACTCTAGTTTGTCAGTCAATAAATAGTAGGCTAACAATACCCAGTCTTCCAAACAGCAACAGCCACCATGGAGAAGAAACAAGCATGAGGAGACGGACACATATGCTAGGTGGACGGGCAGGGCCTCAAAGCTTTTGAACAAAGCTTGGCAAGTAAGACAGAGAGTCTCCCACACTCAGGAGACTTAATTCAGAAGAAAAATGACAAGAGAGTTTCCAAATGACTCCCATTCCACTCATCCCCATCCCAGGCATTCAGTAAACACTCAGTGATTCTGGAATGCCCCGACCCTGTGAGAGCATGGTGGGCATGCCGACCGCTGAGGAGGGCACTGCGGGTTGAGAGCTGTGTGCTAACACCACCTCATAAGAACCTGGACAAGTGAGCACTATTGGTATCCCCACTTTCTAAGCAAGGACACCAGGACTCAGAGGCACTAAGTCATCCTGGCAAGATAGTTAGGACATGGAGAAGCTGCCAGTGGAGCCAGAAACACAGATTCCATTAGGCTTTGCTCTCCTCCCTGTAAAATTGCCCAGGTGCCCCCCACAGCTGAGTGGCCAGCCGGATGTGGTCAGCAGTTGCAGTGGGGTACTCTCCCGACACAGGCTGCCACCATTGGGAGGACCATGCAGGGCACTGGATGGGTCATCCATGACCTGGCGGGGGAAGGAACTAGACCTGAGACCTGCAGACGCACCCTGATGGAGAGCAAGCCCATGCTGGAATCAGCAGCCATCTGAGGTCCAGGGGCAGCACTGAGCCAGGGCCATGTTGGAAGGGTCAGGGAGGGAAGAGGGATGAGTGAAGGGACATCGTGGGGCTCCAGGGCCATATTACAAGGGTGGGGATGAGGCAATGTCACCGGGAGTGCACTGGTGAGCCGAAAGAGTAGCGTTCAAGCGGCTGATGGAGAGACAGACTGGTTAGCCAACCTGTCAGCCTGCACCTCAATCCCAAATGGTCTTTCAAATGGGCCGGTGAGCAGCTCAGGGAGCTACTGCTGCTGAGGAGTCCCGGGGTCTGGAGTGTCAGTAGGCTGGGGGAGGGGGGTGTTGCACAACAGGGAGAGGATGTTACATGGTGCAGGGGACAGGACCCTTGGTGACCAGGGTACAGTGCACGTCGATGGTGCCCTGGGCTGAGAGCCCCCTCAGAACAGCAAGTGACCGTACCTTGGACACAGCAGTGGCAGTCACACTCTGGGGGGCTTCCTGAGGTTTGCTGGCGCCATGCGTGGGCTTGCTACCCCGGTCCCTCTGTCTCTGCCGGCACTCCAGACAGTTCCTCACAGCCACACAGCACACTGTTCAGGACATGGAGAGTGTGTGAGTCACACACCCTGGGGACCAGGGTGATGCTGACGAGGCAGCTGTTAGTGCATCTTGTTTTTCCTTGTTGTCCCTCCCCCACCCATTTCATCACCTTCCTATCAACTAGATGAAATTTTACAATTATGAAATGCAGGAGCAGAAAGTTTCTATAACACACACACACACACACACACACACACACACACACAGTAAGGCAAATCTATAGTTTTAGAAGGAAGACAACCCACCTCTCCCCAGGTGCCCCCAGCTGCAGGCTTCTGGTCACCCTGGTAACACTGTGAGGTCTGCATGGGCCATCGAGTGCTTGGGGCACTATGGGGCTAACGGCATGTCACTCATACTCTGATGGTTTTGTGGACATGTTTGTAGGCAAGTCTGTGGTATGGTTTTGGCAGACTGCACCACCCGCCCATGCTAATGGCCTGCGCCTGCAGCGGTGTTTGTGTGAGCACCCTGTGAGCTGAGCGTGCTCTCGGAGGAAATCCACCGACCGCTGTTAGAACAGGACCATGAGCTGCCCTGCAGTGACTCTGCTCTCATGAAAAATGGTGAACTGCTATTTGGTTTTGAAAGAACTCGAAACCCTATCTGGCCCCATTTCAGATGGTAAATCGTTGAGGATGATCAAACCCTTAAAGTTGTCTACTGTGGAGAGAGATTGGATTGAGGAATTTTCTAGAATGACCAGGCAGCCTCTATTTGGTCAAGACCACCTGCCTAGGGACTTCAGGTGGACCAGGACCTGCTCCCAGGGCTGTATCCTCAGTTGCTCATTACTCCTCACTAGGTCCCTGCAGGCAACAGTGGCAGACTTACCCAGCCTCAGGCATGCCACGGCTCACAGTGCTGCCGCTTCAGTAATTACCCCCAGCCCCAGCGCCTGCTGAGGAACCCAGCACCCAGCACCCAGTTGTTGGTTCCAATCCCTGCTCCTGTGCTGGCCGACTTACCCAACCTCAGGCACTGCCGCATCAAACCCCCAGAGGACATGTTTTTCTCAGCTTCAATCTCACTGAAGTTCAGAGAGCTGGCAAACACCAGGACATCGACCATGGCCATCAGCCGGCTGAGGAAAGTAACGGCCGTCTCAGCAGACATGCCTTGCGTCACTTCGATATTTTCCAATTCAGTCTTTTGAAAGAAAGAAAAAGAAACAAGGAAAAGACTCAGTCTTGGATAAAATTTGAAACTATAGTACACGTCTTTATCAAAGATAACCATTCAGACAGGTATCGTTTAGTCTGGTTTTTTTCAATAGGATGAATTATCAACTCACCCTGACTACCCTAAGGGCTGTGGGTTAGATGAACGATCTCATCTCCAGACTTGTCTGGAATCAGGGGGAACCAGTGTTGAGGTGGACTATACGGGTACTAGCTCAAACCACATTCTACACTGGGGACCACGGCACCAAGCTGGAGTGTCTCTCACGTCTATACTGATGCTCTGATTCGTCTCACTCACTGACAGTTACAGCGAGGTGATGTCTACCTAGATCCCAACTCTCCATTATCAAAGGACGTGCCACCATCACTCCCCTGGAAGCCTAAGGTGAGGGACAGAAAAGTCAGAGTGGCATCAAAATGGGACCGCCTTTCCACTGAGTCTGTCTGACAGGCTCTGATCCACTGCAGAGCCAGAAGCCACGAGGGACCCTGGAAAAAAGTCAGCAGCTACACTCCCTACAGCTCGCTCTGGACTGCCTGCCGAGCAGAGAAGAGAGTGCAAAGGAAGAGCCATGGTCTCAGGACCGAGAGCTGCTCTTGTTCGTCCGGCAGCCTGAGTGTGCAGAGAAGTGTGACTCACTGCTTCCAGAGAGAATGTTCCACAGCATGCCCTGCTAAGTGGGTGAGTGGAGGTTTAAGAGGTGCAGCAGTCCCTCTGGGCTTTATGGCGTCTGTGCTGCTGTGGCCCATGGCACGGAGGACTCGTGCGCTCAGAGCCTCTAGCAGCAGGGAAGCGTAGGGAAGGTTTTACAAGCAGATGAAAGAGAGGGGGGTGTTAAGTGCTCTGGAAGTGTGTCCCTGAGCTCCACTTGTCCACCCATGCAAGCAGACCCCTGGGGCCCATGTGGACACTGCCTAGAACCTCACTCTCCGGAAGCTTCCCCTGCTCACGTGGAGGTGAAAACAGCAGCGGGAAGCACTTATCGAGAAAAAAGAGAGAAAACAAATCACCAAAAGCCCTGCTTTTCTGTGCATGGGAAATGAAAGGATAGGAAGATTGCATATTATAAAATTATTCCCGCCCCCCCCATGTTACACAGAACTTCATCTACTCTCAGAGAACCTAAAAGGATGGAGTGTGGATGCAAGAAATGTGCTTTCAAGTGTTGATTTGCAACAACCGGTAACCCTGGCCATAAGAAAGGGTGGCTTCTTACTTGGAGTTTTGTCATGAGGCCTCCTGACTGCCTAGCATGTCCCTAGCGCGCAGTGTCACGTGAGGGGAAATTAACTTCAGTGACCGCAGTGCCTTAGCCATTGAGGAAAATCCAACTTTCACTCTCGGCCAGCAGCATAAACGCTCTGCAGTGGAAGGAAGAACTCTGACTGCAGCCTATCAACGATGGTTTCATAGAACGTGTCTGAGTCTGTATTATTTATACTCTGTATCTATGACCTTGTCGTGTTTATCAATCAGTGGCTTTATTTTGAGTTGTTTTCATGGTCTACAAGTTCTAACCTTCAGACCTTTTGATTCTGAAATGAGTAAGTTACAAACAGAACTAGTAAATTGTCCATGCAATTACCAAACACTCATTTTGCTCATAAAAGCTAATTTAAAAAAATTATTTTAATACATTATTGCTGCCAACAAAAGAAGCTAGAAGGGATGAGATGTTATATCAGGCTCAGAGCAGATTTAACTGGATGGGGACTAAGGCTGACATGAAATGCTAAAAATCCACCGAAGCTTCTATCCCTGCATGGGCACTGGCCCAGGGGGCACTGACAGGTGCTGACGGCCACAGTAGAGAGGTCACTGTGAGCAGAAGCCTTGGTAACTGAGGATGCACTGGCCCCTCTGTTCTCAAACAGCCTCTTTATCTACCAGAGCCAGGCCTGGTGTCAACCATGGTGTGAAAAGTCAACAACATAAGTGAGCCAAAGCTGCCTACGTCAGCAAAACAAAAGTCAAACCAGAAAAACTGAAAATTACTGCAAAAGGAATACTAACCTTGGAACCCTGGACATGCAATAGACAAATCAGACGACAGACCAAAAGAAGTACAAGAAAAGGAAAATATTAAAATTAAATGAAAATACAATGTAAAATTGAAACACAAAATAATTTAGCCATAAATTATATTTAGTAAATGCAAAAATCAATCCTCAGAAGATATATCCACCCACATTAGGAATAATCATCAAATAGTTAGACTCATATCTTTTTCATGAGAGTAACTCTACCCAGATAATGTGGACATCAGCTCATACAGTTCAAATGGTGCCCTGGCAGCACAGCTAGGTAATAATGGGGCTGCTCACCGCAGGCTGGCAGCTCAAACCCGTCCACTGCTTCCCGTGAGAAAAAGGGAGCTGTCTGCTGCCGCCACAGTCTGCAGGTTTGGAAACCCTATGCGGCGTCCGAGAGTCAGAGCGGGCTTGATGGCGATGGGTTTGGTTTGGGTTGGACAATTCGTATATTCAGGATGATGCTCACTTTTTGACTACTGGCTAATCTTAACAAATAAACAAACATTCTGCCTCTGTAGAACTAGAACCTTATTGGCCATCAAGGGTTAAAAGTACAGGTGCAAACAGCAAGGTCAGCAGTTTGAAACTCCCATCTGCTCCTTGGGAGAAAAATGAGACTTTCTACTCCTGTAAAGTGTGAGTCTCAGAAACCCACAGGGGCAGCTCTACCCTGTGCCAGGGAGGCGCTATGAGTCAGTGGAGCAGACTCCATGGCAGCGAGTTTGTTTTGATGGTCTAATTTAAATTAGATAGAAAGGACTCAGGGAGGAGCTAGTTCTCCCCACTCCTAGATTCTTCATGAAGGGACTTACGGTACAGCTCTTTCCTCTTGGAGCAAGCTGTCCGCCAGTGAAGAAAAGGAGACCGGAGCTGAGGGCCCAGGAGAAAGCCGACTCTGCCAGGCCAAAAGGTCACTAAATGGGGCCCCGTTCCCAGGGCCCACGCGTGAACAGAGATAATGATATGACTTCTGCCCCCAAGGCTCAGCAAATCACCAAGAATGACTGAGCCCAAACATACGTGGACACAAGTTTCAGAATCTGTTCTACCACAGGGAAGTGTACACATGTCCAGGCAGGACAGAAGGTCAGTGTTGTGAGTCTCTAAGCAACACAGGCCCACTGGGCTTCAGATGTGGTTCCCCAGAACTCTGATCACTGGGAGAAGAAAGAAATAAATCACAGTCTGTCCTTGCCACCATGTGTGGCTGAGAAGGTGAAGTAGGCTCTTCGGTCATAGGTTATGAAGCTGTGAGAAGAGGCAGGCACGATGGTCTCTGTAACATTTCTCGGGCAGAGACAAGGACCCCTGTGTGACTGGGAGCCAACTCCCTATAGTCGGTGTTCTGGGTGGTGCCCCTGGAAGTCCCAGGGTGGTGGGCCCAGGAACTCTCACCAGTTTCCCCTCCAACTCTTAGCTCTCACTCATGGCTAACTCCAAGCCTGAGGTGGAGAATAAACGAGAGGTTTCAGCTCCATGCGCAAGAAACCATGAAACCCCAAAATATCATGACAATGACAAAACCCAAGATGATCCTTCCCACCCCAAAATACGTTCAAGGGCAGACTGAGAAAACAGCTTGGTTTGTTGGCTTGTTTCCGCCCAAGTTTTGCACTTATAACTGTTGCACAACTACTGTTGCACTTCAACTACTGGGACTGGAGACCACTTTGTAATGTATTCTCTATGCCACACAGGATTCCAAGGAATTTAGGCAAAACCAATGTTCTAATAAAATGCTGCTTCTTCAAAGGCTATTTAGTCCCCGGTAGCCACTATTCATAAAAGGGTATAAAACAATGCTGTTTTCCCATAAATGTCCCCATTAAAACATTTTGAACAAGGAAGTTGAAGTGAGGGGGCGGAATCCCAAGCCGACACAGGGGGACACCAGGATCGGAATCACTCAGCGATGATGGTTTTTGCATTTGGTTGTTTACGGTCATCAGTTGGAACAGGCATTCCCGGATGCTGGCTCTGCAACAGCTGCACACGTGCAGCCCCAGACAACAGCGCGCAGCTCAGCAAGGGCGGACATGAGGGCACGTAAACTTAGTGCCATATAAAATCAGATCACAGAGAAGGCCAGCACCCACTGCCATCAGGCCAACTCTGGCGCAAAGTGGAGAACAGTCCCTGCAGGTTGCTAAAGCCATAATTCCCTATGGGAGCAGAAAGCCTCATCTTTCTCCTGGGGAACAGCTGGTGGGCTTGAACCTTTGAGCTTCAGGATAGCATCCCAGGCCCTAATCCCACAGCAACATGGAAACAATAGTCATTGGTCACCACCAATGTGGTTCTATCAGCTGTAAGTGGGAGAGGGCCTGGCTGCTGCTTTCGAAGAACACAAAAGCAGCTATGTGGCCACCAGGCATAGGGACAACAGGTAACAAATAAACCAAACCAAGCTCACTGCCCTCCAGTCAATGCTGACTCAGGATGCCCCACTAGGACAGAGTAGAACTGCCCTGTGGGTTTCAGAGGCTGCAACTCTTCACGAGAGAAAGTAGCCTCATTTTTCTCTCCATAGAGTAGCTGGTGGATTTGAACTGCTGACTCTGCAGTTAGCAGCCTAACATGTAACCCAAGGTGAAAGCCATATTGAAGGATTTGCTGGAGTGAGGCTGAGGGCAGGCTCCTAAGAGAGGGAGACTTTGGAGTGAACATCCACACTCCCTGTGGGTTTCCCCAGACTAGAACTCTTTATGGGAGAAGAAAACCTCTTCTTTCTCCCTTGGAGTAACTGGTAGTTTAGAACTCCTAACCTTGTGGGCTTTTGTTTTGGGTATGAATCTGATATGTATTTCTAAATACAAAGTTGTAGTAAATCAGTCATTAATAATGTCAGCAGCAAAATTTATAGAGATGCAGAAATATCATGAAATGCCATTTGCATTTAACTTACTAACTTCCATACTTTATATAGGAAGAACTCAAGACCGGCATTGACGCCTTCTAGTAAACGTTGAGCCAGTCAACCAGCATAAAGACATGCTTCAGGGGTACTGGCACCAGTAGAGAGGGTAGAGCCATGCGCAGGGAGTGACTGGAGAGCTTTATGAGAGTTGTGACATTTGGCAGAGCATGGAGAGATGTGACTTGAGGGGTCTTGTGTCCTTTTAGGGCAGGGGCAATCAAAGAAGCCTGTGGGCTCCCTGAAGCCTGAGTGGCCATCGACTGTTTCCTACTGGGGTCTGGCTGGACACCTGCTGCCCCTCTCTGCACACTCACCAGAGGTGTGTCTAGAATACGAGCAGGGAGCCATCAGCTACACAAGGGTCCCGTTCTTTCTACCTGCAGCTCCTGGAGACCACTCATAAGCATGCCTGGGGAAATGTGTCCATCCACCATACCTGAGACACCCGGGAACACACACCATACTCGGGACACCTGCCCCCCACCCACCCAAGGAACACAAGGCCAGCCAGGGTTTGCAGCTCAGTGAAGAGCAGTGGGTGACGGGCCTGCAGTGACACAGCGTAGCCACACGGGGGAGGCAGAGCACTTACAGTGGGAGACGTGGCTGCTGAGAGCAGAGGCAGGATCCCTCCGCAGGCAATGATGATGTTGTCCACCATTTGGGAGATGAGATGAATCGTGTTATGTACAAAAATAATATTTTCATTGCTATTGACAAAGTCCATGACTGACTTGGTGGAGTGGCTAGAAGAGGAAAATAAAACACAGTGAAGTTCGGCCAGACCATGTAGAAGGCTTTCAGACCACAGGTAACACCGACACGCGGCACAGGGGAAGAACAGGCGCATTTGACACCGCGCGCTAGAAAACAGAAAGCAATCCACAGCTGCGCGACAGCCGCACAGAGCGTGGGATGGCACCGCAAGGTCTCCGTGGGTTTTGTCACTGTGTGTGGCGGTGGTGCAGTTTTCATCTGTCTGTAAAATGTGTGACGTAGGAAGATTCAGGGGTAGAACTAGGCCAAGTCACTGCTCGTGGCTTCGCGTTTTTCCTGGACAAAGTTGGTCAACTGAAGCCCTCCCCCCCCCCCCCT